CACACACACACACACACACACACACACACACACTTTTAATAAGTCTATACATGTACACACTTAACAAACACACACATGAGGAGGCGTGTGGAATGTTCTGTGGATGGTGCCATTCTTGAAAGAAATCAATTTGGAGGAGGCTCTGTAATGTAATGGTTAGGAGAGGCATGAGTACCTGTACAAGAACACCTCTCCATTATGTCACTGGGAAAGTGACCGGTGATCGTTATCGAGATGAGCTTTTACACAGCAGCCCATCGCTTTCCCACCTTTTCAACAGATCGGCCCTAATGTGATACTTCAGTATGATAAAGCCATGCATCGATCTCAAGTCTTTATTAGCATGCATAGGTTATCTTGGCCAGCTTACAACCCTGACCATAACCAAATTGAACATTTTTTTACGAGTTTGGAAGGCACATTCCACGCAACGACCCACCACCAACCACACAGACCCAGCTATAGCAATCGTTACGGCATGAAAAAATGCTATTCCTCATGCTTTAAAGTTTAATGTGTAATCTGGTATCCATCCCTGGAGCAACACTGCTGTGTGCCTGACAAACTGTTAGGGGTCACACCCACTTATAAACTTTAAGAAACATTGGTCGTCGGTCACTGTGAAAATTTTACGCCCGTTTTAACGCTAGGTTATTTGAAAGGCCGGACATTCGAATTTAACATCCATCTCAGATAGAACCGAGCCAAATGTGTGGGGAGCCTTAAAAACTCCTGTGAACAACACAAGTTCAGAGTGTCCCTTTGAAGATTCGAACCCGGGCCATCTGTTCCAAAGTCCAGCATGATATCAATTGAGCTTACAATTACAATACGCCCTTTTTAAAACAAGTTTTTCTCCTATATGAAGTGTCCTTTTGCGGTTGGCAAGTGACACGTCCTCACGTTTTCCTTCTGTTGAATATGAGCAAAGAAAGATATTGCTTTTGTGATTTTCCGGGGGGGAGGGGGGGCAAGTGTATATTCTCTACTTTTGTTAAAAGATTACGGAGGGAAGGAAAAACGAAGTACGCGCGTGACGTGCAAATCACATAGGAAACTACAGACACTAATTGGTTTTGAAAATAAATTTTATGGTAATTTATAGTTAATAGCACACACCCACAAGGTGATATACAGATACACACTACGTAACAACAAAAATCGAAGTGAACTGAATCAAGAGCTTAAATTTTTTATGAT